TGACAAATTAATCCATGTTCCAGCACCAGATTACCAATCCAGACGTTCAATTTTAACATTGTACGGCGGGAAAATGCCATTCGCAACAGATGTTGATATTGATGAGATTGCCGAACTAACGAATAATTATTCGGGTGCTGATATTTGTAATCTTTGTAACGAAGCAGCGATTAATGCATTTCAAAGGGATTTTAATGCGAATGAAATAACTCATAAAGATTTTGTTCACATATTGAAGACATCGGCAAAATCCTCATTGTCTCAAAATCAAATTGATTGGTATTATGAATTTGAAAGGAGATTCCACAGATGAAAGTTTCAGCTTTGTTTTCAATTGTAAAGATTAGATAAAATAAAACATAATTGCCGCCAAATATGAATTTATAACTAACTAGCTGGCCCTGTCCGCGTTGCCGGCCCGTAGTTTTTGTCTATTATGCATATATTCCCAAGCATAATTATTCACAGATATGACTGATATAAGTGTTCACGTACAGGTCGATTTAAAGTGTTTTAAAATACCTGTACCCATTTTTAACCAGTGGGCTTCAATATTTAAACCGTGGGCTTCAACTGTGTGGATGTGCTATAAAAATCTATTAAAAAGTATATATCAATCTTATCGCCATATAAGGGATCAAATTAATTTTTAATATGGTAAAAATCGTAGCAAAATCTTCCAGTCAAATGAGCAGTAATTTGGAATTTGCTGTATTTTGTATACTACATAATTGAGGGCTGAATGATTTAAGAATAGCCAAAGTTAATTACTTTTTTAAACCCATTAGCAACTTAGATTGTGCATTAGAGTCCTCATAAGTCCCCCTAACCATGTCAGTCTGTTTGTCCGCCAAAAGGTGGACTTGAGAGGGTATTATAACATGGATAAAAATTCTAAAATTTGTAGATATGTTGAAATTTTAGTGTAAGATTTTCACCTCCCTAATACGCATTATTAGCCAAATTCTTTGAAATGTGGTTAAATTAGGAGGTACCTTCTTTATATGGGCACTACTCCGAAATATCGACCTACATTGAAAACTTTCTTCTACCCCTTATAATCCAAGATGACAAATAGAGGCCAAATCAAAAATATAGCAGAAAAATATAGCATGTCATAGCATTTCGCGTGATTTAAATAAGTAAAAATAGTTTTATCCACCTCATAATTGAGGGCATGGGAATTAATTTTATTTGCCATTTAAATTGTAAGTTGGAGACCCCTTAAAGTCCATATTTTCATCATAGGATAATTCAATGATGATTAAACAAATATTCGGTCCCGTGCTACTTTCTTATATTTGTAATTTCTTCATGTTTCCACTATTTATTTTATATGGATGCACATCCCAAATCTACGTTCCCAACCAATATTCTCTTGGGGGTTAAAAATTCAATAGAATACAAAATTTTCTTTTCTGACCACACATTAGATGTGAAAGTGGACTTGGGGATACTCCAATGTGGGGACTTTACTTAAATAAATTCCTATGTGGCAATTATCTGTATGATGGTTCTCTACCCCAGGGTGGCATAAATAAAATTTTTTAGCCAAATCAATTGATGAATTTGGTCAATACCAATATGGGCCCTACTCTGAAAATTTCAAATTTTATGCGAAGAGGTTATCTACCCCCTTAGAAACAAAAATGTCAAATAAGGGCCAAAAAATGAAAAAAGTGGCCGACCAAGACCCCAAAAATAACTTAAATCATAGATGGTTATATAAATATGAAATCGGGTTGTTCCCTTATCCATGAGTTATGATCGATATAAAGACCTGCAAAAGTGATTTTAGGTATTTTGAATGTTTGGGAAGAATTTCTGGAAGGATATAAAACCTTTTCTTACTAAAAGTCCCATTCGCTCTACTATTTTGCACCTTTTATTTCAATATTGGTATATTACTTATTATTCTCCCAAAGAATTTTGCATTTTGAGCTCTCATTGGACGGATCATTGTCACGCTTTGAAATGAGCCCCATTAAGCTTTTTCGGTCATTTTTGTTTGTTTAAATGTGTTCGCATCTTTCAGCTAACCCACGATGTAGGCCCTGGAGTTGAAAGGTAGATGTCAGTTAACATCCTATTTCGCACTTATTTAATTTTTTTAGTGAAAAATTATTCTTTATTTTGTTCACAAAAAATCCACTGAATTCAATATGATAATACAAATTGAAAAAAAAATGACAAAAAAAAAAGAATAACAAATTGAAAAAGTCTTCAACTTTTTCGCTGATTTTTTACAGCAAATGTTTTAAGATCCTTCCTTACAAAGTTTGTCAATAGAATGTACTATTACTTTAAAATTCGATTCCATTGAAAATGTTTTTTTGATTTTTGCAATGAGATCTCTTTTTCATGATTTTTCAGCGATTTAGAAAATGTAATTATTATCTTTTAACTTTGGTGTGACCGCGTTAAATTATTTCGATATCATCTATTCCGTTTCGCCACCACATAATTCGCTACTACACTTCCATGTAACCCGCCATCAATTTCAGTTCTCAAGAAATCAAGTCAATTAAATAATTTGGTATAAATATTCGAATTCAAAAATAAAATATAAAACAAGTAAAAAAGCAGTAAGTTCGGCCGGGCCGAACTTTGAATACCCTCCACCATTTGGAACGAATTAGAAAATTTTCAAAAAAATAAAATCCAATAAAAATTCTTTTAAATCTTTAAAATATCTAATATAGGAAGGTGCCGATATATGGGGAGATATACGATATTGTGGACCTATAAAGACAAATCTATGTCTGCGTGTAAAGTATTCACAAGGAACTCCGTGTGTGGATTTTCAGACAATACGATTGGAAAATGTGGCTAAAACCATCAAAATACCGAATATCGCGGGGTACCGTTATATGGAAGCTATACGTTATCGTTAACCTATATAGAGAATTCTCTGTCGGGGGGTAAAGTGCTCACAAAGAACCCCATGTGACCATTCCGTTGGAAAATATGGCTAAAAACATCAAAATACCAAATATCGGGGGTACCGTTATATGAGGGCTATACAATATCGTGGATATATATAGATAATTCTCTGCCGAGGTATAAAGTACCCACAAGGAACTCCTTGTGTGGATTTTCAGACAATTCCGATGAAAAATGTGGGTCAAATCATAAAATACCGAATATCGGGAGGTACCGTTATATGGGGGATATACGATATCGTGGACCTATATTGACACTTAATTTTGAGGAGGTAAAATGCCCACAAGGGACTCCTTTTGTGGATTTTCAGACAATTCCGTTGAAAAATGTGGGAAAATCATCAAAATACCGAATATCGGGGGGTACCGTTACATGGGGGCTATACGATATTGTTGACCTATATAGATAATTCTCCGCCGAGGTATAAAGTACCTACAAGGAACTCCTTGTGTGGATTTTCAGACAATTCCGTTGAAAAATGTGGGTAAAATCATCAAAATACCGAATATCGGGGGTACCGTTACATGGGGGCTATACGATATTGTGGACCTATATAGATAATTCTCTGCCGAGGTATAAAGTACCCACAAGGAACACCTTGTGTGGATTTTCAGACAAATCCGTTCAAAAATGTGGGTAAATCATCAAAATACCGAATATCGGGGGGTACCGTTATATGGGGGCTATACGATATTGTTGACCTATATAGATAATTCTCCGCCGAGGTATAAAGTACCCACAAGGAACTCCTTGTGTGGATTTTCAGATAATTCCGTTGAAAAATGTGGGTAAAATCATCAAAATACCGAATATCGGGGGTACCGTTACATGGGGGCTATACGATATCGTGGACCTATATGGACAATTCTCTGCCGAGGTATAAAGTACCCATAAGGAACTCCTTGTGTGGATTTTCAGACAATTCCGTTGAAAAAATGTGTGTAAAATCATCAAAATACCGAATATCGGGGGGTACCGTTATATGGGGGCTATACGATATTGTGGACCTATATAGATAATTCTCTGCCGAGGTATAAAGTACCCACAAGGAACTCCTTGTGTGGATTTTCAGACAATTCCGTTGAAAAATGTGGGTAAAATCATCAAAATACCGAATATCGGGTGGTACCGTTACATGGGGGCTATACGATATTGTGGACCTATGTAGACAATTCTCTGCCGAGGTATAAAGTACCCACAAGGAACTCCTTGTGTGGATTTTCAGACAATTCCGTTGAAAAATGTGGGTAAAATCATCAAAATACCGAATATCGGGGGGTACCGTTATATGGGGGCTATACGATATCGTGGACCGATATAGCCCATCTTCGAACTTGACCTGCCTGCAGACAAAAGAGAGATCTGTGCAAAATTTTAGCTTCCTATCGTTTAGACTGTAGCGTGATTACAACAGACGGACAGACGGACGCACAGGGCTAAATCGTCTTAGAATTTTACGCTGATCAAGAATATATATACTTTGTTGGGTCTAAAATGATTATTTCGATGAGTTACAAACGGAATGACAAAGTTAATATACCCTCCATACCTTTTTTGGTGGAGGGTATAAAAACACTACAAATGTACATTAGAAAAAAGTAAGTCAAAATGGAAAAAATCATGCAAAATAAAACATTACTATTGTACATTTGAAAAGTCAAAATGAAAATGTTAATATATCACATTTTTACGCGATTTTTTTGGATATTATCCTTTTCGGAGAGTAGACAACTCCGAATTTGTGTGAATCGTTAAAATTAATCCAGCGGTTCTTAAGTTATAAGCGTAGTAACTAACACAACTTACATTTATATATATATATATATCTATCTTCTATATATATATATATATATATATATATATATATATATATATATATATAGAAGATAGATTATTTATAACTTTTATATTTACCAAACACAACCGGTTCACTCGAAAAAAATAGACGATTAAAACTAGAGAAAGGTTATACATTTATAATTTTCTTATTAAAATGTTAAGTTTCTCCTATAATTTTTTTTCGTTAATCCCACCATTGATTATATAAAAAAATTGCATTTAGCCTGATTTCTAACATATGTGGTGTGTACTGCTTGATAAGGTATATGGTATATGCGCATATGTTTTCTTTATTAATACATACCCTCCATTGTAATAAATAGCGGTTCATTTCCTTATTCGTTTAAATATATTATTATTTTAACTCCATATGAAGTTGTTCTTGTATGGTATTTGGCAAAAAAATTATAGAGAATAATATAATTTTTATTTATAAACTAAACAGTCTAAGCAGTAAATTTCTTATAAATAATTTTCACATTATGCAAATAAATTAAAGAATATAACAAGCTATGGAATGTGGAGAGATCAATCATCTATCGGTCTGCAATCATCTCTGAAGTATTTGAAAAGAAGGGGCACGGACCGTAAGAAAAAAGATTAGTATCTGAGTATGAGTGTGACATACGATGAGCTTAGCAAAAAGTTCAAACATTGAACTCATCTTCATTTTATGAATTTACAAAAGTTTAAGTGTCATTTAAATTATAGAATTTATACGAAAATCTTGTGTGAAGGGATCTACACAAAAAAGACGTGTAGGCAACTATTATTCATTGTTATTGAAAATACTTAAACTTGAATATATACACAAAAGCGAAGACGAGCCAAAAATTACGTGACTTTTTTCATATTATGTTCATACTTTCTTTATGAAAAACCAGCTACCGACAAGTGATGCCATTGACCCTGTGATAAGTAAAGAAGAGATTGATAGGATTACATGTATATATCTAGACACTGTTAACTACTTAACATACCGGAATACCCATACTCCAGCCAGCACCAGCTGGATTGTCTTTGGTAATTCCGCAGCGTCTGCAAAGTACACCATTCATGGCGACCGCCCACACCTCCGCCCCCACAGATATTGCCTTAAAGCCCAAGTGAGTATCAGTGTGTGGTGGTATATTTGCCACATTGGGCAGAAATTGCCAGTGCGAGCCTTCAGGGAATGTTTTGGTTATTTCTTTGCGTACAGCCAATCGATTTGTGATATCTAGGGCCCATACACCACCTTGGCCAACCGAAATGGCTTTAAATTTTGTTCCACTTGGAGCATCGATCGGCTGCCATGCATCTCCTGAAAAGTTAATCATATATTAATCAAACATCATGGCTCTTTAGCAAATACACACTCACCCAAGGGATTTAATTTGGTAATACCATAACGATAAAATATAGAACCGTTCTTGCCCAAAACCCATACTTGACCTGCCGGAGTTATGCTAATTGCAACCAGGGGCTGCTCGCTGGGTATATGCTCCCAATTTTCGCCTTTAGGATTCAAGGAAGTTACACCATGTCGATATAGTACATCACCATTAGATGCTATGGCCCAGGCACATATTGGAATCTCATCTATACTCTCACTATTAACGCTGTTACTGTCCGTTGGTAAAACTTGCAAAGCGGCATCGAGTATTTTCGAATGGCTTAGCTCCTGCCACGGCCCACTTGTAACAAGACGACATTTCTTCAGCCAACGACGGCGCCTTACACAATCTGTTAGGCGTTTTTGAGCATGATAAGTGGCTGGAAAATCAATAGCATATTGCCATCCTTCTTTGTCACAACCACCGGGTATATTATAATCAATAGCCCAGTCGGAAATCCATTCATAATGTGATGACAAAAGTTTGGTATGCTCCTTACTTCGTTTTTGCCGTCCGGTTACGTCGCTCCACATAAAGCGATCTGTCGGTAAGCTTTTTGTGGTAAAACCGCTTATAGGATTCCAGCGTTGGTTTTCATACACATAATAGTTATGTGTATCTATCATGGGATTAATTTTACCAACATTACCCTCAAGTCCCTTTAAAAAATTACCTCCCCAACCCCCATTGTATACCCATGCCGTATTATCACATGTCATGCCCCAAACCACGCCAGCAGAACAGCTAAACACTTTCTTTATATGTCCGCCAACTTGTCTCCAAAACATTAACTGGGGGTTGAGTATAACATTTGGGCAGCGATACGTGACATTGAAAAGTTTAACTCGGCCACTCACATATAGACATGTTACAGAGTCTGGGTCCACTCTGTATTTGTAATCCACAAAATATGAATTATTTACCATAACAGCGTAATGACTTTCCAGCGCTCTAAAATGAAGGAAACGGATAGATATAATACGGCAATTATAACCCGTTTTTTAATTTAACAAATTACAGAGTATAAATAACAATTTACCTTATTTTCAATGTAAAAGTTGTGCCTGGTGCGAATACCATCTTATCATATCTCGTTTCGTTCTGCCACTCAGAATTTTCCATGGTGTTAAAAACAATTGTTTTTTCATTAAACCTGTGTCGTAACAAAGGAATATTTCTCATTATAATTTAAGCACATCTTTTCGAAAATAGTCTTCTGTTAGATGGTAATATTTTTACCTTGGGTTCAAGTGCATAGCAATGACACGGTGTTTTTCAAATTTTACCCCAACCTTAAGGGACGAATGGCATTGCAAATCGAAACGTATTTGATCAGCGTCATCATAAACACAGCCGGAAATTATTAGTTCGGATCCACAAGGCATTCTGAGAACCGATTAATAAAATTACACAAAAGCATATTGTTTTGTGAAACTCGAAAAATACCTACCCATTATGTAGCGTATTATAATATGGAGTTTCCAGGGTGCTAACATCCATTTCTTGCTTATAACTATTTGTTGCACTTTCCCACTGTTGACTTTTCATATTAGCCGGATCGAAGACAAAAACATCACCCAGTTCGGTGGTGGCCCATATAGAATTGTTTGCAGGTTTCGCTACGACTTCATTTATTTGGCAACATACAGATGTTAGATGAGAAAGCCAATCTTCCATTTCAGAATCACTGGAGAAGAGTAGACGAACTGGAGAGCAATTAGAACTTACAAGGCTTGTTACATGTATAGCTAGTCGTGGGGAGGCAGGTTCACTGCAACACATAACACATGTTATGGCCGATAAAGAGAATTGAATTTTGGCTGTTACGCCATCAGGGTTTAGTACGGTAAATGTTCCAGAATCAGAATCCTTTTGAATTGTAGGATTTTGAGATGTGGGCGTAGTGGCGGAGCTGCCGCTCACCCACTCCAGTTCAATTAGACAATCTTCAAAATCCAGAGTACCAGGACGTTGATAGCGCGCTTCAGCAGATTTTATCCATGATGAAAGTTCGACTGCCTTTTCATATCTCGCCTGACTTATTAATGTATTAAATTTGTCTTGTCGTTTCCGCAGTTTTTCCACAATATCTTTCCGCCAAGCCGAGTCTACATTAATATGGCTATCTGTTGAAGAACTTTGATCATTGAACCAATTTGGTAAATTACTCGGGTTAATGCTAACAGCTCCAGCTGTTAAGTATGACCACATAACTTCGCATTCGGTCCAAAATTGGGATCCTAATCAATAAATATAATTATAGTATACACAAATCTAAATACACAGACAAATATATACCCGCATGATCATCGTCATCCAGAAATGCATCGGAGCCATGGTGTGTAGAGTCAGCATCAAATACGGTTGAATCACTTTCAGGGTGGGCCTCGGTGCCTACCATAGAACCAACGCTACGCACCGGGGACCACGCTCTGGGATTTTTTAAATGTGTTTCGTATGCTTTGCCACTAACTTCGGCCACCTCAGTTGTTCCAGGGGCACTAGAAGCATGGGTTAGTTCTCTTAACGCAGAAGTACGTTTCTTGTGACGTTCATTCAAATTCAGACTTCCAATGTTGGGTGGTGAATCTGAGTAATGCCGATAGAGTTCACCTTTTAGCCTGGATGGTGGTCCGTTATTGCAATTATTTCCAGTCACAACATTTTCTATTGGTGCACATGTTTCCACAACACCTTTTTCTTTTTCTTTATTATAAAGGTTAGAAAAACTTTGCTGTTTCGAACCGGGTGTTGATGAACTACCGCTTCGGCGAGAAGCTATTGACATGGAACTTGAAGTACGGCTAATTTGCATTGGCAATTGAATTAGGCGCCATTTTTTCCCCGTTGGATCTGATGGCGTAACACCGTAGCGGTAGTAAAGAGCTCGATCAGCAGATCCAATAGCGAATACCTTGAAAACGGTCAATGATATTATCCTTTAAAAATAACATTCCTGTTTTCTAAAATTGCTCACCTGATCATTCGCAGCAACCGAAACCATAGATATATTTCCTATCATTTCGACCCAACCACTGCCAATAGCAGCGTCTTCACATACTCCAGCCAGATCGCCCTTAATGCCTCGTCTAAACCATACGCTGCAATCATTACAAACACACCAAACAGCATTTGTGCCAACTGATATCTGAACTATTTTTAAACCGCTTGCGGGTTCTTGGTTATTGGCATGAGATGGTGCCTTAACATCTAACCAGGAGTCGCCTGAAAGATTTTCACGGGTTACACCTGAGCGTACAATTGCATGACCGTTGAAAAGCACAGCCCAAACCAGACCAGTTGGACCAACACTAAGTTGGGCTAATTCGCAAGTAGGTGGAGTTGGAATAGTTGTCCAACGGAGTCCTTCGGGAGCTGTGGCAGAAACCCCGCTCCGGAACATAGCCTTAAATGGAAAATTTAATAGGAAGCACAGTGTAAATTCCAGGACGAACTTACCCTGCCATGAGCTGTAATAGCCCAAACGACTAATGTACCAGTGGCAGCATTAGGTATATTTGTGCCGCCTATTGCCACATCGGTAAAAGGCTCCTGTGTGGGGTCTTTGTGTAATGGTGCCACAGCACACCAACAATTTAAAGCACTATAGCGGCGAAACCTTACCCATTTACGTCGCCTTACATACGAATTCCAAGATTTCTTTGCCGAATATGTAGCTGGAAAGTCTAGAGCATACATCCAACCATCCTCACCAAGGGAATTTCCATCCAAATCCAATTCCAGATGCCAATCACCATCCCATTGCCATGCCATTGATGGTAGACGTATTTTTTCGATAGATCGATCTTGTTGGCCATCGGCAGAGGAATATTTAAAACGATCTGTGGGCAATAGTGTTTTGGAAAACCCTTCAATGGGCAACCAACGTTCATTTTCGTATGATTCTTCTTTTACTCGTATGGGCACATCCAGACCGTGAACATGAACATATACTTGACGATCACCACCAATAGCCCACATAAAATTGGGAACAGCTGAGATTTTCTTGAATTCCAAGCCATTGTAGGGGAACTCCCTCCATGCTGCCGAACTAGTTGATAAGGTATATACTCTACCTTCGCTGCTATTGGCAAAAAGTAAACTACTAGGCATACTTGTACCGGAAAACGAAATGCAACGTTTAAGAAAACACTTGCAATACGGTTATCGTGGAACTTTCGAGCCTTAAAAGATAAAAATTCAAGTATTCATTTAAATATATTACACATATTTAGGATCCTCATCTTACTTTAAATTTGCTATAGAATTCTTGTTTCCATTTCAGTCATCAGTACCCAGTCATTGCTGCTGTTGCGGCATGTTTTGAGTGAGTCACTACTAGGTTCACAAGAGGACCTCTGAAAATAATTGTTTTATATTGTATTATTAGCCTTTTTTATATTTTTTTTGTTCTTTGCAATAATTTCCTACACTTTGTTCCTTGTAAACTACAAAGCAGAAGAAATTTGTGTGATATACACAAAGGGGGCTTAACTTGGGGTAGCACGAAATAACAGCTGATATATTTTCCACCCCTTGATTGACATAAAATGCCAGTGATGTCAATGTCGGCATTGAGTGAGGTAAGTACAAATGTCTTGCGTCAAATTTTGGTAATACCGTGTTTATACAAAATTTTTACCAGGGTTAATCGTAATAATTGACCAATTAGAATAAATTTAGCATATGTTTCCCATTATGGCCTATACATTAGGTCATCTGGTATGACCAACTATAAAATCGGCGTATTGTCAAAATTAATGCAATTGTGCATTAATCGTATGAAAACGTAAACAAAAATTTTACGGTATAAATGTTTCTCATAAGGGTAGACCCATGGTACAATAAAAAGGTAAGGTAGAGCTCCCAGCTGATTACAATTTTTTTCTAAGTGCGTCCGACTTCTGCCAATTTTGTGTGTGTATTTGATGTTTTGAAAAATAAAAGTAAAATATTTTCAAAATTAATTATTGGAAGAAACATAAAATGCGGGGCGCGTATTAATAATTTTAACCAGATTTGCCATGGAATTGAAAGATTGAACACTTAGGAACATATTCTTGAGAGAACATCCAGGCATTTCATTCATCTTTCGCGCTATTTGACTCTTTTTAGAAATGAACAAAAATATCAAATAAATGAAAACCACTTGTTGCCTATAATTTTAAATAATTCTGATAGGAAGCAGGCGTAGCCTCAGGGCTGTATTTCTGTGCTTTTACGAAGTTATTCTACCTCCTTATTGTACCATGGGTAGACCCATGGTAGAATCAAGGAGGTAAAGTCATGCAATCATATGTTTACAATTTTTTCAAATATTATTAATTTGAAATATTATTAATTTCATTGTACATACAAAAATCAGAGATGGGAACCTGTTTTATGCAGTAAAATGTGAAAAGGTAAATTACAGAAAATGCAGAGATGGGAATGCTTATTTGAAATTACTTTACCTTATTAATTTTACCATGGGTATGACATGGTAGAAGAATAAAGATACAGAACTGCAAAAATCTACTAGCTTTGAAAAATTTTCGATATTATAAAGTGAAAATCGATTATTGTAGTAAAAATTTGTATATTCTTGCAGTTCTAGAACCGATCAAAAATCTTCACCTGATAGTGTTTACCACAGTTAAGTTTAACCCGGATAAAGTAGGCGTACATGGTAAAATTATACAAAGTAATCTAATACTAACGTATGATACATATTTTTGAATATAAAAATAAATTGTAAAGAAAGAAAGCCATCGATCGCGAGAGCATGTGTGCCGCTTGCTTCTGAGTACCTCACCCCTTGGAAGAGAATTTCCTATATCCACGATATAGCGTATCCTAATTATAACGGTACCTCCCGATATTCGGTATTCTGATGATTGCAGGCATATTCTTCAAGAGAATTGTCTGAAAATCCACACAAATAGTTCCTTCCTTTACTCGCTGTAAGAGAATGCAGTAAAATGTGAAAAGGTAAATTACAGAAAATGCAGAGATGGGAATGCTTATTTGAAATTACTTTACCTTATTAATTTTACCATGGGTATGACATGGTAGAAGAATAAAGATACAGAACTGCAAAAATCTACTAGCTTTGAAAAATTTTCGATATTATAAAGTGAAAATCGATTATTGTAGTAAAAATTTGTATATTCTTGCAGTTCTAGAACCGATCAAAAATCTTCACCTGATAGTGTTTACCACAGTTAAGTTTAACCCGGATAAAGTAGGCGTACATGGTAAAATTATACAAAGTAATCTAATACTAACGTATGATACATATTTTTGAATATAAAAATAAATTGTAAAGAAAGAAAGCCATCGATCGCGAGAGCATGTGTGCCGCTTGCTTCTGAGTACCTCACCCCTTGGAAGAGAATTTCCTATATCCACGATATAGCGTATCCTAATTATAACGGTACCTCCCGATATTCGGTATTCTGATGATTGCAGGCATATTCTTCAAGAGAATTGTCTGAAAATCCACACAAATAGTTCCTTCCGAGTACTTTACTCGCTGTAAGAGAATTGTCTATATAGGTCCACGATATCGTATAGCCCCCATATAATCTGTATTTTGCTGATTTTAGCGACATTTTTGGCCGGAATTGTTTCAAATTTTGGATTTAAAGTTTGAAGCTCGCAATGAGTACTAAAACCCATGTCAGAGAATTGTCTATGCAAGTCCACGATATCGTATAGCCCACATATAACGGTATTTTGATGATATTAGCAAAATTATTCAAAGGAATTGTTTCAAATTTCGTATTTCAAGTTCGGAATCGATACTACAGACCATGGCACAATTACAGAAGATAGAACAAAGCTACCCCCTAAATACAATTTTTTCCTTTTAGTGCCCTTGTTCTGTCAATACATATACAAATACACATACTTTCGATGTTAATGGGCAACACATTGTACAATATTGGGTTAATACTGTATTGTCCTACAATTTTAGATTCAATCTTGTGGAATAACCCCAAAATTCCATTCTTGTTTAGAGGGTTTGCCCCAACATAAGAATTTTGTTAAAAAAATAAAAATAAACAAAAGCAACTGTTGCATATTTAAAAGTCTAACTCCAGCAAATTGTCGCGTTTTTCTATTTGAGCAACTTTTCTTAAGGTGGACATACATAAAGCGCATGTTTAGATGAACAAAGGAGTTTTAGGTTGACTTAGTTCGATTTTGGCCCTAGGCTCCTATGTTCATTTCCGAAGAAGCCAGCCGATGACTTAAGCCCGCCGGATAATGTATTCCCGCCGCTTTATGTATTCCCACCATTATTGAGCCATGCTACATTCTATGCAGGTTCACGTCCATTAAAGTGACACTTTTCGACATTCGTTTCTCCTAAAACTGTAATGTGAATTATAATATCAAAAGAAAAAAATGTGTTCAAGTGATTTCTATGCCCTACCTTGTCTTAATTGTACCCACGCCACAATAATAAAGGTTGTTCAACTTCAAAGCAACTAGGAAACTGCAACTCTGTACTGGAGTCTTACTGTGTCAAATAGACGTCCAAACATTCAACAGTTGGTTTTGTTTATTCTATGCAAAAGAAAAGCATATTTTACACGTTAATGGACAGAAAAATGTATTGTTTTTGGAAAAAAAAAACATTAGTGTCCCTATATTTTGAATTTTGATGATTTTAGCTACATTATTCACCGGAATTGTTAAAATTCCGTATTAACATTTCCTAATGGGTACTACATTCTGTGACAGGATATTGCAGGTCCACGTCTTCGTATATACCCCAAAATAATGGCAATCTCCTATATGCCGTATTTTTAAAAATTTAACAGAATTCTATCTAACGGATTTTATTTTTTTATTATTTATTCATTTTTATACCCTCCACTATAGTATGGAGGGTATATTAAGTTTGTCCTTTCGTTTGTAACACCTCGAAATATACATTTTAAACCCCACAAAGTATATATATTCTTGATCAGCATAAATTTCTATGTCGATTTATCAATGTCCGTCCGTCTGTGGAAATCATTCGAGCTTTCGAACGAAATGAAGTAGGTTGATAAAATTTTACTCAAATGTGTATTATGTCTGCAGGACTTTTGGTATTGAAAATGGGCCATGTAGGTCCACGTCTTAGTAGGTTCAGGTCTTCGGTACCTCACTATATTCTATATTTTGCTGATTTCAGCGAAATTAGTCACCGGAATTGTTTCATATTCCTTATAGGTACTACAGTCTATGACAGAAAATTGTCTATGTAGGTCCAGGTCTTCGTATAGCCCCGGTGCCTCCCTATATTCGGTATTTTGCTGATTTCAGCGACATTATTCACCGGAATTGTTTCATATTTCGTATTTGCACTTCGTGTAACAGAAAATTTCAGTTCCACATCTTCGTATAGACCCCAAAAATAACGGCTACTTCCTATATATGGTATGTTTAAGATTTTAACATCATTTATAACGAATTCCAATTTTTTTTTGGAAATTTCCAATTTTTTTTTTTAAATGGTGGAGGGTATTCAAAGTTCATTTGTTATTTATTTATTTATTTTAAGATATCACAAATCGAAATCATGCAAAATATTAATTGAAAATTCGTTATTATACTCGTTTTTCCTACTAACTTTTTATTCCAGCAAACTTTGAGCATTCAAACTAAATTAAGTCTATTCTTTAAAATGGCAATGAACTAATCAAGGAAAAAAACCAAAATTTCCCTGAATGTCATGGGAAAAACTTTAAATATAAATTACATTTATTCACGAGAATAGTTGAATGCCCTTTTCCCCATAAAAACCTATGTACGTACAACAACAACAACAAACAATTTACATCCATATGTAATGATAAAAAACACAGCCATTATAGGTAATTTACTGGCATATTTATGCCAGTTTCAACCCAATGATATGCATGTCATTTAGTCAATTCAGATAGCGCATAGGAAGTCATGAAAGGTGCTAATGTGTTGTCATGCGGCACGTATTTCAAATACACTTCCGGTACTGCTGTACCTAAATAGCAAATAAAGAATAGCCAAAAATATTGCCTGATAACTCAAAACCTCTTAATTTTTTTCTTCCATCTTGAACCCCAAAAAACCGAAACACCAAATTAGCGGCAAGAAAGCTTGACCCTTAATATAACTAAAATCAGAGTAACACAATTATATGGTGACTTATATAAGGTGTGTCTGGTTACTTTTCCTATAGGAATTGTACAGCAACTTCTTTCTGAGAGAGTAAGGTAGTTTCACTCTCTTTTGCAATAAATAGAGAATAATCATGCAGAAATATAAAATATAGAGAATAATCATGCAGAAATATAAAATGTCCGAAAAAAAGAATTACGTTTGTGATTTCCAAAATAAATATGTTTTTAAATTGCTTGTCCAAATATAATTAACTGGAGGAGAAGAAGAGTTGCAAATGATTGCAAGAAGATAGTTGTACAGCAAGAATTTGCAAACTATCTGTGAAAAAACTGTTAAAAATGTTCTCTCAAATCGCTCTCTCTTGCAGATGTTGTCAAACGAATAATTTTGAAA